CATTAATTTAATAACAAAATTAAATTAAATAAAAAATAATAAAATTAAATTAAAACAAAAATAGGAAAAAATTAAATTAAATTTAACCCGGAAAAGAAGTCCGAATTGAAATTTAATAACAAAAATAAATTAATTATATCTTAATACTTAAATCCTAAATTTATTACCCTAAATAAAAATCAGCAATAAAAAATAGTTAACATATCATAAAGTACGAGTAGGAATTCTAATGTGATCTGACTACAGTCCACATTAAGAATAGTAAATTAATCATGGTTTAGTATTAATGGAACAAACGTAAATTATGGATGTAGTAAGTAGTAACAATGTGAAATCTAATTTAAAATTTACGATGACTACTCCTAATTTAGGAGTATTCAATCTTTTAAAAATGGGTCCCACTAAAAATCTAATTTAGGAATATATTTACTCCTAATATATTCTTATATAAATAAGATATATTATTAACTAATTGATTTCATGCCTTACATATCTTGCAAATTATATATTTAGTTGTTATTACAATCCACTAAATACGGGAACTTGCCAATTAATTAGATCTTAATAAATCATTCTATATTAGTCTTAATATTTGAAGATTTTATGGTCTTAAATAGATTTAATAACAATATTGCAATTATATAAATACGCTACTTCATTTTGTTGTATCACATTGTAATCTTATTTTTTACGAATATACAATCAAATATGAAAGAAAACGTCCCCCGCATAATGTTTTTAACCAGAACAACATTCATGATACAAAAGCTGCAAGGACAAATCGCATAAATTATATTCGAAACAAGAGAACATTAACACCGGCGAAAGGTAACAAATACTTTGTTGTTTGCAAATAAATTCGTGAAAATTGTTTCTTTATGGTGTATATTCACAAGTTTTCATTTTACTAATCATGTTATTAATATTTCACTCAAATATGGGTCTTACTTGATAGATAAATCAAATAATGAGACCATGAAGGAGTTTCAATCGAACCATGGCTGCGTACATGGAACTAAAACTATGGGATTGTGTTCATCTAATATTATGAAAACACCAACCACAACAAACAATTTAATTCTATCTGCTATGACAAATGGTAAGTATCATTTTTTATTTCTGTATTTTCTATTATTGTTAATTTGTATTTATATATTGTCACGATGTGTTTACTTACGTTTGTTATACAATAATATATTTACTATTAGATGTAATAATACTTTTAATTTATTCATACAGGTGATGGATACACCCATAATATGCAAACAAATAGAAATGACAAGGGAAAGAAGCCAATGGACCCCTCAGGTCAATTAAATTATGCATTTATATGTTCAGTTAATACAAATGTCTGCTCCAAATATCATTTAACAATGTCCAATTAATAAAAGTTAGTATTGGGCATCCTTATTATATATATTCCGATAATATACATAAGAATTTTCGGAAGAAAATGCAGGTTCTTGCGGAATTTCAATCGATAAATCAAACTTTTACAACACAGAGGAGTTTCGATCCAGGCATAGAGCTGGAATTCGATTCAAAGATCTTGAATTATATACACCAAATAACCCGACATCACCAACTACACCCACAAATTTAATTCTATCTGATATTACAAATGGTAATAATTAATTATTATATTCGTAGTTTACATACATTTTTTAATATGAATATATCAGTATTAAATGAATTTAAATTATTACTATCATGTGTTTCAGTAAGTAGAACTGAAAGAAACAATGGAAGAGTTGTGAAGGATGTCGCAACAACAGGTACGAACAACATTACCATTTGTAATGACGAAACTCAAACTATAGTTATATTATATATATATATATGTATATATATATATATATATGTATATATATATATATATATATATATATATTATTCACTTACGCTCATATCTGTTATCTTTTTTTTTTACACATATGTGGCATAATTTAATATATAAATTATAATGAAGAATAACATTTTTATATTATGTAAACAGATTTGGAATACACTGTCAGCAAAAAGAGAGTTGCCCAGTATAAAGGAAAAACTCGAACTCGAAATGTTAAAAGTATGTCAAGTACAGATACAAATGACAAAAAAAGCTATAAGAGAAATCGTGAGGTGACATATAACAATGTTGCAGCAAATTGTGAAGGTTTGCACTCTATTAATTAATTATCATCATTAGAAGAATTATTCAAAATTTTCTTACGGATGTCTTTAATAATATTTCCAACAGATGCTAATTCGTACGAGATAGATGGGTTACATAGCATTGGCAGTGTGCAAAATATTTATGCTAATACATTCTACGAAACCAACAAAAGGTACATTTCGTAATATTTATGAAACACAACATTAATACAATTATATAACACGTTTGTATTTAATATGTTACCATATCCAACATTGTAAAAGTATAATATTTTTTTATTCATTGAATAATTTACAGTTCTTCGATTCGTACCGGAAAGATGATATCGAAGAGTCAAAAAACCATACATTCTGTTGCACGTGACTTGGATATGGATTCAAAACCTGTCACTTTGGTCGATGAAGACTTACAGACTATACGGGAAATTACATCGGACAGTGGAGGTATGTGTTATAATTTCGATCACATTTATCACGTAAAATTTGTCTTGAATAAATTGTTCATAATAATCAATTGATATCATTATTTTTTTTTATTTAAATAGAATCAGAATATGTATCAAATGACGAAACATTCACTGATTCTAACGACGATGATGGTAAGTACTCCAATATTAATTAAGTATGATAACATGTCGTTTTCATCGTAATAACGGATGTCTTTTTCCTACGCAGAATACGATGATCTTGGTGATCAGTCATACGAATGCCAATCATGTGGCGCAATGATGTGGTACGGGGAAAGGATCATTAAGCAAAAGGGTACATCAAATCCTAAGTTTTCAATGTGTTGTAATGGAGGAAAAGTCGAATTGCCAAATTTAATAGAAGCACCAGATCCCCTAAAGATTCTCCTATTTGGTACCGATCGAAGAAGCAAGCATTTTCAAGAACACATACGGTCGTATAATATGATGTTCTCATTCACATCTATTGGAGGAAAGATACAGACTACGATAAACAGAGGATCCGGTCCGTACACGTTCCTACTCCATGGGCAAAACTACCATTTAATGGGTAGTTTGTCGCCAGATGAAGGATCGCGTCCCAAGTTTGCTCAGCTTTATATATTTGACACGGAGAATGAAGTCAAGAATCGAATGGATGCAGTCAGGTATAAAGCACTTTCAGTTATATGTTATTATTTTTTTATATTACAAGGAATTTACTTTATGTTTCATTTTATCGTTGCAGATCCGGAGACAGTTCCAGCGAATTGGATCCTGAGATTGTTTCTACATTGAAGGATATGGTTGACAGCTCAAATATGCTTGCTCAGTCTTACAGAGCTGCCCGGGACAGGCTCTCGCAGACTGGAATGGAATATGTCAAATTGAGACTCATAAAGAAACGGAATACGGATGGCCGTACTTACAATCTCCCGAACTCCAGTGAAATCGCGGGACTCATTGTTGGTAATTTTGACACCCAAGAGGGTGTTAGAGACATAGTTGTCGAGACACGATAGAAAAAACTCCAGCGAATCAGTGAGTTGCACCCTTTATATCTTCCACTGTAGTATCCGCTAATATTTCCTCACGGCGAGGATGGTTATAGGGATGATATACCACTGATGGAAACATCAGTGAGTGGTACACGTATACGCAAGAAGTTAACAATGCGGCAGTACTTTGCGTATAGGATCCAAAAAAGATTTGGCGACAGCGCGGTTCTGTTGCACTCAAAAAAATTGTGCCAGCAATTCATGGTCGACGCATTTTCAATGGTTGAATCGGAAAGACTGAAATTTATAAGATTTAACCAGGATAAGTTAAGAGTTGACATGTACAAGGGTATCGAGGAAAGTATTTTGAAGGGAGATACGGATGCTAGATCCATTGGGCACGAGGGTTATTCTACCAGGCAGTTTTACCCAAGGTCCAAGATACATGTTTAACAACTTCATCGATGCTCTTCAAATATGCAACTGGATTAGATTTCCATCGTTGTTCATCACTATTACCTGCAATCCACAGTGGCCGGAAATTCAAAGGGCCATGCGCGGTACTAATTTGAGACCTGAAGACCGTCCCGATATTCTTGCTCGAGTTTTTAAGATGAAGCTCGACAGTCTGATGTCAGATTTGAAGAAGGGCAAAATATTTGGTCGCATTAGAGCATGTAAGTATCAATTTATAAGATAAAAATATAACATAATATATATTTTATACATTGTCTACTCTTATAATATTATAAATATTTTATTACGTCAAACATTGAAAATTTATGTATATTAATGCTAACCAAATACGTTTAAAATGTAAAATGTTCAGATGTTTTCACAATTGAGTTTCAGAAGCGCGGTCACCCGCATGCGCACATATTGATTTTGCTTCACAATGAAGACAAACCGAAGACATCAAAAGACATAGATAAAATCATATGAGCCGAAATCCCAGATAAGGTAACAAACCGAAAGATGTACGATTTGGTTGAGAAGTATATGATTCACGGCCCGTGTGGTCAGGCCAATCAAAACTCTCTATGCATGAAGGACGGGATTTGCACGAAGCGATTTCCAAAGAGTTTTGTCAACCGTACTGAGGCCGATGCAGATGGTTATCCGGTGTACAGAAGAAGAGAAAATGGGAGGACCGTGGTTAAGAAGAAAACATATCTCGACAATGGTTTCGTCGTGCCTTATAACCGTGCTCTACTGAAAAAGTACAGAGCACACATTAATGTCGAGTTGTGCAACCAGAGTAAGTCGATAAAGTATTTATTCAAGTACGTCAACAAAGGACACGATCGGGTCACAGCGGCATTTTATCAATCAAATAATCCAGGTGCAACTCCTGAAAGTCGCGATGAGATAAAGATGTACTGCGACTGCAGATATCTTTCGGCATGCGAGGCTGCTTGAAGGTTATTTAGCTTTGACATTCACTTTAGAGACCCACCGGTGATTAGGTTAAGCTTTCATCTTCCGGACAGTCAGTCTGTTGTGTTTACAGATAATGACTCATTAGTTGATGTGCTGAACAGACCGACTGCGAAGCAAACGATGTTCCTTGCTTGGTTCCAAGCGAATAAGTTGTACCCTGAAGCTAGAAATTTGAGGTATGGAGAGTTTCCACAGAAATTTGTGTATAAGGAAAAAACTCGCTGTTGGATGCCGAGAAAGATAGGATTCTCGATCGGAAGGGTTACCAATGTACCGCCGGGCAGGGGTGAAGACTATTACTTGAGACTGTTGTTGAACTTTCAAAGAGGTTGCACGTGTTACGATGATCTTAGGAAAGTCGAGGATCACGTCTACCCAACTTTCAAAGATGCGTGCTTTGCGCTTGGACTACTAAATGACGACAAGGAGTACATAGCTGGCATAAATGAGGCAAACGAGTGGGCCAGTGGTGACTATGTGAGACGATTATTCGTCGTACTTTTGGTCGCAAATAATATGAGCAGACCGGAACATGTGTGGGAGTGTTGCTGGAAAGAATTCGCCGAGGATATTGAGTACAGACTGCAACAACGTCGTATCAATTCAGGTATGAGAATACATCTTACGTTTTTACACCGTGTACTACACACGTTTGAATTAAACTATATATTTTTATAATCGCCACATTATGTTAATTTTTCATATTATATTATATTGAAGGTCCACCTGTGTCAGACGATACTCTGAGAAATTACGCTTTGATCGAAATAGAAAATATATTGCAAAGCAACAGCAAAAGCCTGAGTAACTTTCCCCCAATGCCGATTCCAATTGGGTCGATGACGGACGACACGGTAAATAGATTAGTTCTCGACGAGTTGGACTATGACGTTGATGCTATGCGTGAAGAACTTAAGAAATACCTTTCATCCATTACTGATGAGCAGAAAAAAGTGTTCGATGATGTCATGCATGCTGTTACAAATGACAGAGGTGGACTGTTCTTTCTTTATGGGCATGGAGGAACGGGAAAGACTTTCATATGGAAAACTCTATCGGCTGCTATCCGTTCAAAAGGAGAAATAGTTATAAATGTTGCTTCCAGTGGTATTGCTTCGCTTCTACTTCTAGGTGGCAGAACTGCTCATTCTAGATTTGGACTGCCAATAATTGTACATGAGAGCTCCACATGCAGCATCAAACAACAGAGCCCACATGCAGAATTGTTGTCTAGAGCAAAGCTAATCATATGGGACGAGGCACCGATGATGCACATGTACTGTTTCGAAGCACTCGACAAAACAATGAAATCTATATTTGATTCAGATATGCCATTCGGAGGCAAGGTTGTAGTGCTTGGAGGGGACTTTCGGCAAATTCTGCCAGTTGTGTTGAAAGCGTCGAGACAAGACATTGTGCATGCTACAATCAATTCATCACCGTTGTGGAGGCAATGCAAGGTTATGAAGTTAAACAAGAACATGAGACTTGAGTCGTCCTCCTCTTCCGCCAATGCAGATAAAATAAGAGAATTTGCGGACTGGATATTGAGAATCGGCAATGGCTATGCTGGCGAGATAAATGACGGTGATGCCACAATTGAAATTCCCGATGACATGCTGATTCGGAATTCTGCAGATCCCTTTTTGGATCTTATAGAGTTTGTCTATCCCGATCTGGTGACCAACCTTTTCACTCCCAAGTATTTCGAAGGCAGAGCAATCCTTGCACCCACTAATGAAAGTGTCGGTTTTGTGAACGATCATTTTTTGTCGATCATAGCTGGAGAGGAGAAGGTCTATTTCAGCTCAGATAGTATGTGCAATAAGGAGTTGTTGTCGGATGTCAACGCAGAAATATACTCACCGGAGTTTCTCAACCATATCATGTTCCGGAATTCCACAGCATAAGTTGACATTGAAAAGAGGTGTTCCCGTTATGCTCATCAGAAATATCGATCAGGCCAGAGGATTGTGCAATGGAACAAGGCTTCAGATTATTAATATGGGAAAACACGTTCTCAACTGCAGGATCCTGTCCTGTAAACATGTTGGTGATATGGTGTTCATTCCTAGAATGACTTTGGTACCGTCCAACTCTGCATTGCCTATTAAATTCCAGCGACGTCAGTTTCCGCTGATGGTATCATTCGCAATGACAATCAATAAAAGTCAAGGACAAACTCTTTCTCACGTGGGCATGTACTTGCCGAGACCTGTTTTCAGTCACGGACAGCTCTATGTCGCACTCTCGAGGGTTAAGAGTCGAAGTGGCATAAAGATTTTGATTAACTCGGAATCTGGTGATACGACCAATGTTACAAATAATGTTGTATACAAGGAAGTTTTTCAGCGTATATGAAGGTAATTATTTATACAAAAAATTACAATATTTATTGACGACCTTTATTATCTATTATTTTTATGTTAGGTTATTCCTCATTCGTAGGTTTATTTTAATTGTACTAGGAACTTGCTATGGACTCCGCTCGCTATATTTGATGAAGGTAATCTTTTTACAATAATTTTATGCAATTAAAAAGTTATATTGATATTGTTTTGGTAACAATTTACATATTTCGTGTGACCATTTTACAACATATGCAGGTCAGTTGCATTGTATTGGAATTGTTGCATTCGTTTAGGGCGGTTGGTAGCAAACAATTCAAGTTTTCAACGTTCATGTCATTATGGTTGTACAAGTTTGGGACCAACTATATATTCGTTCTTTTGTATGAGAAAATTAAAACATTCGATGTTTAGTTTTTTTCTCTTATTTCGGCTTATTTTGAACTTACACCATACAAATTATTTGTATTTTTGAATATGTTCTACTTCTTTCTTTTACTTATTAACAATTAATATCACTATTTTGAGAACTTTTTTTATTATTCAATATTTGTTTTACGATGAATACCCCGTGCATCGCACGGGTGTATTACTAGTTGAGTGTAAATGGTTGGGGGTAATTTTTGTCACATATATTAATTTTATCTTTATTTATAATATATATTAAGGGATGAGCTTATTGGCGAAAAATATATAATCCCTGAACCTAGAATAATAAAAATGGTTGACCAAATATGGATGAAAAAACCCAAAAAATATTTATACTGAAATGCTATTCATAGAACATATTTTACCACCTTGCAGTGCGACTTTATTTCATTTGTAATTTTCAAAGTAAAAAACCACAATCCTCTCAAATCCTTTCCCAACTGTATTTCGTGCGTGGACATTTCGTATTCCCTAACACGAAATGGATGAAGGCATTTCGTGCAAAGAAGCACGAAATAGTATTTTTTCACGATACACGAAACCATAAATTTAAGTTTTTTATGCATTTCGTGTTGTATTGCACGGAATGCAGTGCTCCATTTCGTGCAATACAACACGAAATGCATAAAAAATGTCAAAATTCGATAAAAAAAAAATACGTTTTTTTTTATCTCAAAATCGAAGTAGGTTTCTTTCGTATTGATAATTATTGTGTTTTAATTGATATTATCGAAAAAATTTGACGATTCGAAAAGTTAAAAAAATCGGAGGTTGAGAGAATTTGGAAAAAAGTTAAATGAATTCTTGACAAATAAATTATTTCACACTGTAACTGAAAAAAATTGCACTATGAATAGTAAACCCCATATTTATACTATTAAAGAAGCAGTAGTCGCAGTATGACCCAAAAATATTTATACTATTAAAGAAGCAGTAGTCACAGTATGAGAAAATAGTTTTATAAACTTTGGGTGTGACCCAATGTTTATAGAATATGTGATATAGAAATCATAGAATATGTGATAATTCATTTCCGACCATGCTCATGCAATCTTAAAAAGTAGCATGATCATGACAGGTTGGCATCAATTGATAATTATTATAAATAAATAAATAAAGGACAGGTTGGCATCAAAGCAGGTAGGTTTCAAGATTATCTTTTCTTTTTCTGTACATCACATGTCATGTATAGTGGATCGCCAAAAACTTTGTCTCACTTTCCAATTTATTAATAATTTGAATTATTACATCTACACATGCCTCATCTATCTCTCCTTCCACGCGCGTTCTGTTTCGAATTTTTTGAGTAATAATATTTTTTCATAGTATACCCCAAAAAGAAAAAGGTGTTATAAGAAAATGTGAACAAAATCAACAAGCACAAGTTCTGCAGCAACAAGACAAGTTAAATGGAAAAGAAAAAAAAAATTGATGAATCCTCGGACATTACATATAGTTAAAAAGTGATGAAAGAATGATAATTCCAAATAACTTACAAAAAAAAAATTGGCTAAAAATTCATATCAATTTATACTAGAATCACACATGCACCATCAGCAATCCTCAGTAAGCAAAAAGGGCACAATGCAAACAGGCTCCCGCTCCGACAAAACAATAAAGCAGGCAAGACCAATTTCAACTTATCAATAGAACATCGAGATCAATGCAGACACCATCAGCATCGAGGTGTAGACCAAGTTAAGGCCACGGTACTTGATCGAGGTTGCAACAGATGTGTCTTGTGGCCTAAAACAAACAAACACCGTAACCCGACAAGAGAATGTTTAGAATGTGATAATTAAAAAAAATAAATAAATAATGATTGCAAATGATTATTACTTCTGGAGTTTGCTAAGAGAGCCACAGAAGAGTGCATTGTCCGGCATTGGAAACTCCGTCTTGTTATTGGGCTCTGGATTAACAACGCGCACATACGTCTCTTGTCCTAAATACCAAGAGTCGAGGTTTTCCGTTCTCAGGTTCCAAACCCCCACATTGTCCAATGATATCAATATAGCAGTCCACGCCCCGGGATATACCTTAATTTATATCAAAAAAAAATTATTATTTAGTTACTGATGTCCATAAAATGCAATATGAGTACAGTTATTTACTTGTGTTGTAGAGCGAGCAACCCCATCCCACTTGTTGTACGTGCCCCTGCTATTCTCGGTCCACACACCATAGTCCATGCTGTATTTTTATAACCCAAAACCCAAAATTAAATTAAGACAATAAATTAAATTAAACACATGTTAAATAAATAAATATAGCTAAGAAGAAATTGAAATACAAAACCTTACCCGACGACAAAAAAGGCGTATCCGCTCATGTGATAGGTATGCATCTTAGTCTCGTTGTTCTGCAATATAACTTCCATAAATCCTCTGTAAGTACCGTTAATCACCGATGTACCTATCCGAGGTGCACCTGTTAGTGGACGAGTTGGAAAGTCGAGTTTGTAAACACCCTTCACTTTATATTCATCTGCAAGCCTTATAGGTGTAGCTGGATTCGCAAACGAAATTCCACTCAAAGTACTTCTCCGTTTTCCGTCAATAGTCACTGGCGGTTTGTTTTCCAGAACGTATACTTCAGTCACATTAATCGAACCGTATCTAAATGAACCTTGAGGATTTGGGCGAGCACCACTAGCCGACACATTCCACCTGTATTACAAAAAATAATTAAAAAAAAAAAGTAGCATTAACTAAAAGTAAGATAAAATTTAATTTGAATAGTCATCAACAAAAAGTGCTCAATGTACCATTAGTTTTCAGTCATCGAAGAAAACTAAAAAAGGACAACAATTAATTTATATTCCCTAGTCCAATATTTAAATTTTAAAGGCCTAATTGTTAGAAAAATCCTGTGTTATAAAAATTAGCAGAATCCCCCCTATAATTTAATTTTATTAGCAAAATACCCCCTAAAATGCATCATAAGGAGGTTGTGTACTAAAAAAAGGCATCATAGGGGGGTTTTGTTAATATTTATACAACACAAGGATTTTTTTTAGCAATACGATATAACACAGGGGTGTTGAATGCAATAACTCAATATTAAAAGGGTCACAATTGAATTTACCTGATAGATCTAGCCTGGTTCATGGAATAGGTTCTGTCGAACTGGTCTTGAGGTGGATCGGGAAGAGGACCAGATGCCTTTCCTTTCGAATTAGTGTAGTGCAGAACGGCGACACCTGTCACTCTCTGCCAGGTGGTTTCATTAACGAATCTTGCACTTGCAACAATGTAATAATCGCTGCTTGCATTTTGAAAAGTTCACCTTTACGTGACAGTGTAGTAATTTGAGCTGCCTGCCGTCTGAAAAAAAATTGAAAAAAAATACTTCTTTTT